GGGGATGATGGGACTAACAAAGAAGCCACAAGCACAGGAAAGTTGAATCAGGAGAATGAACACATCTATAACCTGTGGTGTTCTGGTCGAGTGTGCTGTGAAGGCATGCTCATCCAGCTGAGGGTAAGTAGGGAACTGGTCCCATGTGTATCTTTCCTTTATTTTTTTTTTAATGTGACTGCTAATATAAATTTAGTGCTTCATTCCTCCTTGTTTGATTTAAAATAAGGTCTGAGCATTATATTTCTAGTAGTTGTCAAATGAAGCATTTGAGTCCCCTCCAAAGCCCTTCTGTAAGTGTAAGCTGCAAGGTATTGACTCATTTTTCTCATTTTTTTTCAGTTCCTTAAAAGACAAGACTTACTTAATGTCCTGGCCCGGATGATGAGGCCAGTGAGTGATCAAGTGGTATGTATTCCTGCTGCTTTTCTTGGTATAAACTGAGTTATTTTCTTAGCTATTCCATTTCTGTTTGGATTGTATTTAGAACTCCTGGCAGTTTGTGTCCATGGCAGAAAATGGGTGCTTTTCTACCTAAGCAGGTCAGGGTTCACATGTCGGGAGGCCTCCACTTGCTCTTTTCAGGGAAGGAGATAATGTCTGTCACCTCTTGTAACCGCTGGATTATCCTTACTAGAGAGAACAGTTGCCCACATAGTGTGCCCTGGTATCTGGTTCTCCTTATGTATACCTTTGCCTGATTTTTAAAACTTACCTATGTGTGTAAATATGGGTGCCTGCATACCAGGGACATGGGTGGAGGTCAGAGGACGCTTTGGGGAGTCAGTTCTCTCCTTACAGCTTGGGGTCTGGGGATCAAATTCAGGCCTTCAGGCTTGCATTGCGAGCAGCACATTCTAAGCCGTCTCATCTCACCGGCCCTGGGAATACTTGTGTCTTTGACAAAACACTAGGTTTCTTCTCAAAGTTTATTTTGTTTTAGGTCTTTTTTGTTTTGTTTTGTTTTGTTTTTAAAACATCAAATGATTCATTTTGGTTGAAAGAGCTCAAATCACAATCTGGGTTTTTGAGTGTACTCTCTTCCATTTATTAAATTAACATTCACCTGTAAATTGCACCCTCTGTCAAAAATGTTTCCTGTCTCTCTCCCAAAGAGAGATACCACAGACAGGATTGCTGTTTTTGCTTTTTATAAAAATTATTTTCAGCCGGGCGGTGGTGGCGCACGCCTTTAATCCCAGCACTCTTTTGGGAGGCAGAGCCAGGCGGATCTCTGTGAGTTCGAGGCCAGCCTGGGCTACCAAGTGAGTTCCAGGAAAGGCGCAAAGCTACGCAGAGAAACCCTGTCTCGAAAAACCAAAAAAAAAAAAAAAAAAAAAAAAAAAATTATTTTCTTCTGGGTTCTGTAATTTCCTGTGAATCCAGAAGAACAGAAATCCTTTTCTCTCTCTCTCTTTTTTTTTTTATTATAGCTGCCATTTACCATGTCTTTCCCTACATTAGTATCACCCTCTTTTTTAAACAAAAGATTTAAAATTTTTATGTGTGTGTGTGGCTTGCATGTTTGTCTGTGTACCACATGTGTGTCCGAGGAGGTCAGAAAAGGGAGCTGGACCCCGTGGAACTAGTTACAGATGGTTATGAACTTCTATGTGGATACTGAGAACTGAACCTGTGTCCTCTGTAAGAGCAGCAAGTGCTCCTAACTATTGAGCCATCCATCTCTAGCCCCACATTTTCTTTCTTCCACATACTGAGAATTTGGCCCAACCATTAAGAAATACAATTAGTATAACTAGAACCATGTTTTAACAGATCAGACTTCTTAGGTTTATAACACTGCCTGTTCCTATGCAGAATATTAAGAATTATTTACTTGTATAAAGATGTTTTCCAACAATGGCCAGTTCTTGGAGTCTCTAGACACAAGCAGGGATCCAACAATTCAGTCCTGACACTGCTTGAAATTAGCTTTAGGTCCCATAGGTTGAAGGATTCAGGGCCCCCATTATCCCTATTCTGAGGAAATTTCAAATCCCAGGCCACCATGTACACTTTTGGCTGATCACCTATGAATTGAGGGTTCCCATCACCTCCCTCCAGGTTGACTAATTTAGTAGAATGATTCACAGAATTCAAGAAAAACTTTGCTTATATTTACTGACTTATTAAGGACACAACTCAGCAGTAGCCAATTTAAAAAAAAAAAAAATGAGGGGATGCGAAGCATAGTGGCACACGCCTTTAATCCCAGCATTTGTGAGGCAGAGGCAGGTGGATCTCTGTGAGTTCCAGGCCAGCCTGGTCTACAGAGTGAGATCCAGGCCAGCCTGGTCTACAGAGAATTCCAGTATAGCCAGAGCTGCACAGAGAAACCCTGTCAAAAAAGGGAAGGAGGTATGTGGAGCTTCTTTGTCTTCTCCAAACGTGCCACCCTTTTAACAGATTCAAAAGTTTACAAATATGGAAGCTTTCTGAATGTGGTTCAATCAAGGATTTCTGTACTGCAATGCTCCATGCTCCTTCCCACAAGGGCCTTGAGTAGGGCTGAAAGGTCCACCTCTCAGCCTTAGTTTTATCTCGTGTTCAGCCCCATTCCTGAAGCCATGTGGAGACCTTACATTAGCGCCAACTCAGGTTGATTGAAAGGGGTTCCCAATAATGAAACTTACTGAAGGTTTTATCTTGGTGCCAGGAACCTGAGGCAAAACCCAGATATAATTCTTACACTTTTGGTTGTGAGCCTAGCCTTTAACATTGAGCCATCTGTCCACCCCCCAGATATAATTCTTATATCACACTGTCCATTGGGATCCTGTTTATTGCTGACTTTTGTATTGGACTACTCAGTATGAACCTACATTAGTGTTGTGTTTCTTCATAACAAATTGCCACAAAACTGGACAGCTTAAAACAGTACCATTTGGGATTTGAGAAGTGCCTCAGCGGTTGGGAGCACTAGCTACTTTTCTAGAGTGCCCGGGTTTGATTCCTAGCACCAACACCCATCTCATAACCATCTGTAACTCTAGTTCCAGGGGATCCAGTGCCTTCTTCTGGCCTCCATGGGTGCTGCACACACATGGTGCGCAGATATGCATGCAGGCAAACACTCATACACATAGGATAGAAATAAGAAATCTTTTTCTGTTTCTTTTTTGAAACAGTCTCACTCTGTAGACCAGGCTAACCTCAGACTCACAGAGATCTGCTTGCCTCAGCCTCTTGAGTGCTGGGATTAAAGGCATTATGTCCCCATGCCCAGCAAAATTAAAAAAAAAAAATTTTGAGACCTTGTCTCAAAAACAAAAACAAAACTAACAAACAAACCGACACCATTTATTATTTCACAGTATCAATACATGAGTGGTTCAGTGTAGGTTAGCCGGGTGCTCTAGTTAGGTCTGTGAGGCTGGAAACAGTGTGAGCCAGGCTGTGTTTCCTTCTTCACAAGCTCATTCAGATTTTTGTCAGAATTCAGTCTCTTGTATTTATTTATAGGTACCTATTTTCTCGGTATCTGCCTCCTGGGAATTACTCAGGTCCTGGGGGCGTTACTCTCAGCTCTTTATAATCCACCCCTTGATGATCACTTTTGCCCCAAAGATTCTCTTCTTGTGCTAGGGCACAGTTATTTTTCATTTCAGACAATGCTCCTTTCTGTTAATTTGAATCAACTGATTAGGAGTCTTCTGCCATTATATCTGAATCCTGCTCAAGGGGAAAATGTATATCGCAGAAGACTGAACTCTTCAGGGCTATTTAGAAATCTATCCATCATAGAACCTAACGAGTCTTGTTCTTGTTTTCTTTTTACAGCAAATAAAAGTAACTATGAATGATGAGGACATGGATACATTTGTGTTTGCTGTTGGCACTCGCAAAGCTTTGGTGCGACTGCAGAAAGAGATGCAGGATCTGGTACGTCCAGTTGCGGGAATGCAAATGTGTGCAGACACTGCCTCTCTTTCTTTTTTTTTGGAATGAGTCAACCCAACCGCCCAGTATGATGATGAATGTAACTTAGCGGCTGTGCTGTGGGGGGTTTTATTTGGAGCATTGTGTGCCTTCCTACCCGTGTCCTGCAAGGGCAGGGAACAAAAGCAACCGAAAAAATATAATCTGTAACTACCACTAAGGGGAAAGGCTCTGGAAAAGAGCTTGGTGACCTTAGTCCTCCAGGTCTTCTTCATCCTCCTCCTCCTCCTCCTCTTCCTCAGAGGCTGCCAGGGCCTGCTCCTGTGCAGCCTTCAGGCCTGCTCCTCCTCCACCGTGGGGTCACTCATCTCCGTGATCTCAGGGCCGCTGGGGTACTCCTGCTGAATCGGAGCTTGCAGGGATGGGTTGAAATTCTCAGGGCTGTACTTGTGACCCCAGCCAATGTAGAGGTTCTCAAACTTCCTGCCAATGGCATAGGCGTAGGCGTAGGCCCGCGGCCAGAGGTTGGAGCGCCCAATGGCCACCGAGTACTGAGGGCTGAGGCTGCAGGAGATGCGGGTGGTCCAGGGCGACAGGTGCATGACTTCTGCATCTTCCAAGAGAGGAGTCAGAAGAGGGGGACCGACATCCTGCTCCACCTCCTCCATCCCCTCGTCCGCCTTCTCTTCTTCCTCCCCTAACTCCTCCTCCGTCTTCTACATTGGGTTCACCCACATACAGCGGCCCTGAGGCAGGATGTGCTGCGTGTGTGATGTACCCAGTTGGCCATGGAGTCCACGAGCTCCAGCACTGGGATGCCCTCAGAATCGGGTTCTCCTCGAATGAGTCGCGCCCTGCGCAGCCTCATTGCCCTCCTCCTCCTCGCCGAACTGGTAGAAGCCCAGCGGGCTGATGACACTGCCTCTTTATTACAAAGAAGTTCAGCTTTGTAGTACAGCACAGTTCTGTCACTCAGGTGTTAAGTACCACTTCAAAATAGGTAGTACATACCTAACCTTTTGGGAAAAAAAAACTTATAATAAAATACTATGCTTCATGTTTTTATTTTCTTCCAGAGTGAGTTTTGTAGTGATAAACCTAAGTCTGGAGCAAAATATGGACTGCCAGACTCGTTGGCCATTCTGTCAGAAATGGGAGAAGTCACAGAAGGAATGATGGATACAAAGGTAAATACAATAAAAGATTCTGTGCACAGTGCACATCTGTAATGGCAGCTACTCTAGAGGTTGAGGCAGGAGGATCATGAATTTCAGACCAGGCTAGGTAGTACAGCTAGAGACTCTGTCTCCAAAAGAATAAATAAATAAAAATCACATACTAAATTTTATTTTACTTTTTTGAAACAACAGGTAAATAATCTGTGACTACAGATCATTCATGGTAAACATTTTCTGTGAGACTTATATCATCTAACTGATTTTGATCAATTGGGTAAACACAGCCCTTGCTTGTACTAGAAACAGTAGCAAAGCAACACCATTTTAACGAGGCACTGGCCAGCTCTCGTGTTGAGAGGGTTGTCTCCCTGAAGCTGGGTCGGGTCTTCTCTGGTGCCGTACACTAGTCGCAGTTACGTGTTCCTTCCTCACACTGACAGAACCGGAAACAGCCTGGCAGTTAGCACTGTGCAATCATAAGGACTCTAGTGTGTATCTCAGCATCAAATCTGCCTAACGAGCCAAGTGTCCCATAACTCCAGCTTTGAGAGATATGGCACTCACTGGCTTCCCTGGGAGCACTGTGCTCACATGCTCGCTCGCTCGCGCGCGCGTGCGCGCGCACGCGCGCGCGCACACACACACACACACACACACACACACACACACACTCACTCACAGTAAAATAAAAAGTTCTCAGCCAGGCGGTGGTGGTGCACGCCTTTAATCTCGGCGCTTGGGAGGCAGAGGCAGGTGGATCTTTGTGAGTTCGAGGCCAGCCTGGTCTACAGAGCGAGATCCAGGAAAGGCACAAAACTACACAGAGAAACCCTGTCTCGAAGAAAAAAAAAAAAAAAGTTCTCTGAAAGAACTAAAAGAACTAATGACTTTCAAGGTTTTTGTTCTGTTTTTTTGAGATGGAGTCTCACTATGTAGCCCCTGGGTAGCCTGGAGCTCAAAGAGATCTGCCTGCCTCTGTCCACCGGATGCTAAATTAAAGGTGTGCCACCACTCCAAGCCAATTTTCAAGTGTTTTAGTGTTTTTTGTTGTTATTGTTATTATTGTTGTTTGTTTTGCCTTAATCCTTTGATGGTGTTATTTAGTCATTCATGAGTTTAGTTTGTCTAAGTAAAGGTGAGCACGCAGGGCAAGCACTTGTGATCTGTCACGGGAGAGGCTAAGGCTGGAGGATGGCCGCAGAGAACTGTTCCTTTTTTGTTTTTCTGGTTTTCCAAGACAGATTTTCTGTGTAACAGCCCTGGCTCTCCTGGAACTCACTCTGTAGACCAGGCTGGCCTCAAACTCACAGATCCACCTGCCTCTGCCTCTTGAATGCTGGGATTTAAGGCATGTGCCACCCCTGGCCAAGAACCATTTCTTTAAGCTGAAGGTAAGGGCTGAATTGATGGCTCATTAGGCAATTCTGGTTTTTTGTTTGTTTTCTTTTAAGAAAAAGATATTTTAGTCTGAATAACATTTTATAAAAATAAGAATTAAAAGGTAAATATCTATAAAAGCTTGGAAATGCACCAAACTCTAGTTAATATTCTTTTTTTCTTTCGTTTTTTCAGATGGTTCACTTTCTTACACACTATGCTGACAAGATTGAATCTGTCCATTTTTCAGACCAGTTCTCTGGTCCAAAGATTATGCAAGAGTATGTATGAAATACAAGTATTAAAATTCATCTTCCTTATTGGTTCTATGTTGGAACACCACAAAGTACCTCTATAGTTTCTTTACCAAGTGGGAAAGTAAAATTGGTAATGAATGTCCTCCCACCTAGTGTGGCCTGAGAAGCCACTGGCAGCCTCGTCACCCAGCATGCTTCGTCACTGACCCAGTGACCTTCAGAAGGAAGGGTTGGTGCTAAGAAATTGCAGCTGGTCCACCCTTCACCACATCTAAATTTGTGATGTTTGACTTGAAATACAAATCTATGTATTTTGTATTTTATCACCTTGTCTCACTTCCCTTTTGAATACCTGGGTGTGTTTTTAAATGACTTCAGTACCATGGTTTCTGGTTTACAGCAGTATTGTTCAGGTGTACAGTATTGTTCATGGTTTGGGCTTGAATTTGTCATTGGATTTGCAGTCAGTCTCTGGAAAGCATAACTAAATCTACATCTGATAGAGAATGGGGTCTGACCTGATTATTAGTTGCAGGCTACTCTCACAGGCTATGGGGTTGAGTATAACCAAAAGCTATTCTGGATACAGGTCTTTGATTTCAGCTTTCAGAGGCAGGAACAGAAGGAGCTCTGAGTTCTAGGCCTGCCTGATATATATAGTGAGTTCTCAGTCAGCCAGGAGACTCGGTGTCAACAACAGACATTGTGGGAGCTATGGGGTTCATTTCCCAATACCAGAATAAGAGTAGCAGTAACAGAATGTATTTTGGATTTACTTGTGTGGAGATTACTCAGGTCCTTATGCTTTGAGATGATGTATCATCCTCGCTTTGCTAAACTTAGTAACAACACCAGGGACAAAGTATTACATTGTAGCTTTCTCAAGCCTCTGGTTGCGGGTGGAGCAGAAGTCAGTTGTTTGATAGTCAAAATTTGCAATGAAATGACAGAACAAAATTATAAACTGTGCTCGCTCCAAGTCCATGAGGGATTGTTGGTTGGATAACCCCCACCATACCAAAGTCTCAGGATGCTTGAGTCTCTCCTATATAAAGTGATGTGTTTGCAGCAACATACATAGCCTTTTTCACAGGAAACCATCTGTGGATTCTTGTAATACCTGATACAGTGTAAGTGCTATTAAGTAATTGTTAAACTGTATACCTCAACTTTTAAAGGATAATGACCAAGAAAAAAAGTGAAAGTTGGGGGTTGGAGAGCTGACTTGTGCTTAAGAGTGTATTGTTGCCGGGCAGTGGTGGCGCACGCCTTTAATCCCAGCACTTGGAGGGCAGAGGCAGGTGGATCTCTGTGAGTTTGAGGCTAGCCTGGGCTACAGAGTGAGTTCCAGGAAAGGTGCCAAAGCTACACAGAGAAACCCTGTCTCACCCCCCCCCCCCCAAAAAAAAAAGAGTGTATTGCTTATGCAGAAGACCAGGGATCAGGGCTTGGCTTCCCGTTCCCTCATGGAGTCTAAAAACCATTCTAACCCCAGTTGCAAGAGATTTGACACCCTTTTCTGGCCTCCATGGGCACTGCATACATACATACACGCAGGCAAACTCATACACAAAATAAATACAAATTTAGGAATTAAAAAATTAAGCAAAAGTATTTAAAATATGGCCTCATATTTAAATATAGGCATATTTCTGGCTCCCTGGATGAAAGGGAATATATCCTGCACTGGAGACACCCCTGGAGGGGTGCAGATGTAGCCCAGAGTGGGTTAGATGACTGTAAAGTGACCCAGGCTCTTTGATCACTGTTGACTTAGAGATGCAGAGTACATACAGTGCTGTTATAGAGATGCAGAGTACATACAGTGCTCTTATTAGCAGGAATCAGATGGGTGGCTTGTGTGCATGGAAAGTGCCTTCGTATGTTTGTTCTCTTACCAAACTTCTCTTTCATGACAGGGAGGGCCAGCCCTTAAAGCTGCCTGACACCAAGAGGACACTACTGTTTACATTTAATGGTGAGTATTCTGGGTCCTGTCTAGCTGTTCTTAGCTTCCTCGAAAATGTTTTTGAGATTGCTTTTCCTTCTGAAATACTAGCTCTAAAAGTACAGCATCGCTAACCTCTTTCCTCCTTGCTGATTTCTGGCTTCCTCTAAGGAGCTAGTTTGTTAGCATTAAGAAAGACTGCCAGCCCAGAGGTGGTAATGCTGCCCTTGACTCAGTGGGAAATGGCTTTGTTTTCCAGTGCCTGGCTCGGGTAACACGTACCCAAAGGACATGGAGGCTTTGCTCCCCCTGATGAACATGGTGATTTACTCTATTGACAAAGCCAAAAAGTTCCGACTTAACCGAGAGGTAAGACAGACCCGAAGCCGTTCTTACCAACCGGCACCGCTTACTGTGCTTTTCCCAGCGGGCAGCGGCGGTCAGTGACTGCAACTGAGTCTTGGCTAGCTGACTTGAAGAGCAAAGGGAAATAGGTTTTGTTTTCGAGACTGGGTTTCTCCGTGTAGCATTGCTCCGTTCCTGGAACTCACTGTGTTAACCAGGCTGGCCTCGAACTCACAGAGATCCGCCTGGCTCTGCCTCCTGAGTGCTGGGATTAAAGGCGTGCGCCGCCACCGCCCCGCGGGAAATAGTTTTTGTTTTTGTTTGGTTTCTCTGTGTAGTTTTGGTGCCTGTCCTGGATTGCACTCTGTAGACCAGGCTGGCCTTGAACTCACAGAGATCTGCCCAATTAAAGGCATGCGCCACCCACCGCCGCCCAGCACAAAGGGGAATGAATAGTTTTACCAAAGAATGCTCAGTGGGGTTTTCTCCTGTGGGATGGAAATGGGTTTCTTATGAAAACTTTGTTTCCTGGGGAAGGGTAAACAGAAAGCAGATAAGAACCGCGCACGCGTGGAAGAGAACTTCCTGAAGCTGACACACGTGCAGAGGCAGGAGGCTGCGCAGTCTCGGCGCGAGGAGAAGAAGAGAGCCGAGAAGGAGCGGATCATGAATGAGGAAGACCCCGAGAAGCAGCGCAGGCTGGAGGTGAGACACCCCTGCTGCCGGGGCTGCTGGGTTTGGCTGTTTTATATTTTTGAGATTATAATATAATTGTATCGTTCTCTCTTTTTTCCTCTCTCCAAAACTTTCTGTATACATAGCCCCTCCCCCAGCTCTCTTCACATTCATGGCCTCTTTTTTGTTGTTGTTGTTGCTGGTGTGTGTGTGTGTGTGTGTGTGTGTGTGTGTCTAAATGTATAAGCACAACCTGTTCAGTCTGTATAATGTTGCTTGTTTGTGTATTTCCATGGCTGACCGTTTGGTATTGGCTAACCGTTTGGTATTGGCTAACTGGTTGGTGTGCTCTTCCCTGTTTCTCCTGCTCTCAGTGTTCTTTAGTTGCCTGAAGTTCTTTGTCTAAGGTTGAGGTTTGTAAGAATTCCCCAAAACTAGTTTGTTTTTAATTACCCAGATGTGGGCTGGAGAGATGGTTCAGAGGTTAAGAATACTGACTGCTCTTCTAGAGGACCCAGGTTCAATTCCCAGCACCCATGTGGCAGTTCACAACTGTCTATAACTCCAGTTCTAGGAGATCTGGCACCCTCACACAGACATACATGCATGCAAAACACCAATGCACATGAAAATAAATAAATCTTAATTATCCAGATGCCTATTTGTACCATACTGTCTACTATGACAATCCTGTGTAGAAATGTACACAGGCTAAAAGTTGAATACTCTTCAGCATTTGGGATGTGCTGTCATCTGATAGCACTTTTTCCTCTTCCAAGCCATACTAAGTTGAGTTTGTGCCCCTGGAATTACCCTCTTTACCCACCACAGTCTCATTTCAGATCAAACAATTAGAAAGAAATCGGGGACTAAACGACACTGGCATATGCACCTTATATTTAAATAAACTTGTCATTGAAAGTTAGGGTTTGATACGGAAGTAGTGAATTCTGAGGTTTGAATGACATTCTTCAGATAAAGGAGGCTCCTGCCAAGAGAATAGGAGTTGCTGCTGTGTGAGTGTGTAGGTGCCAGGAGTCGTTCAGCAATGCTGTCGGGAGAGGTGTTCAGGAAACCTTATTGCTGCTCCTGTGCCGCATGCCTTTTTTTTTTTTTCTTCTCACGCCACGAGGTAAAAAACAAACCCTTGTGGGGGTTTTGGGGTTTTGTTTTTTATTTTTTTCATGTCCTCTTGCTTTCTTGATTTTGTTTGGAGAGACGGACGAACAGAGCAGGGTGGTGGTAAAGAGACACGTAGACATGTGTACAAAGGACAGACTCGGGTGTCACTTGAAAGATGCTGATCGTCTCTGTGTGTGTGATGCGGGGGAGAGGAGTGGACAGGGACGGCATTGCTCTCTGGCCTGGAACTCACTTAGTAGGCTAGGCTGCCTGGCCAGCGCCACTCTTCCTCAGCAAGCGCCTGCCACCACCCCAGACTTGACACAGGCTCTAGGGATGTACTTGGGCCCTCATGCTTCTAAGACAAGCATCCCATCGACTGAGACGTCTCTTTAGCCCTTAATGGCTATGTTCGCCCTAAAAATATCACTGTTTTTAATGCTGTCTTCATAAATAAAAATGACTTTTTGGTGTATACACATGGAAAATCTGCATTAAGAATCATCAATATAAGAAAAAAAATAACAAGAAAAGAAAAGAATCATTAATAGGTATTGTCTTTCATTTTTTTGTGAAGAAGGAAGTTTTCTTTTTATGTGGTTGGAGACTCCAATGGCTTAAAGGGAAGGGGGCCCAGGACTTAACATGTGAGTTGGTAAGCTTCTTAAAAACAGCCAGTTTAAAGCCTGCAGTGGTGGCACACGCCTTTAATCCCAGCACTCGGGAGGCAGACCCAGGTGTATCTGAGTTCGAGGCTAGCCTGGTCTATAAAGCGAGATCCAGAACAGGCACCAAAACTACACAGAGAAACCCTGTCTCTAAAAACCAAAAAAAAAGACAAGGTTATCTTCAAGAGTGTTCTCTGCTGCAAAACTAAGATTTTTTTTTTTAATTTATTATTTATTTTTTATTTTTTTTTTTTTTTGGTTTTTCGAGACAGGGTTTCTCTGTGTAGCTTTGCGCCTCTCCTGGAACTCACTTGGTAGCCCAGGCTGGCCTCGAACTGGAGTTACTGGCAGTTGTGACGTGCTTGGAACAGAACTTGGGTCTTCTGCAAGAGCAGCACGAGCTCTAACCACCAGGCTGCTTCTCCAGCCCCGGGTTTTTCATTGTGTGCTCAGAGCTTAATTTGGATCTTTCTCTCCCCGTCCCTATTTCACAGGAAGCTGCTTTGAGGAGAGAACAAAAGAAGCTGGAGAAGAAGCAAATGAAAATGAAACAAATCAAAGTGAAAGCCATGTAAAGTCACCTCGAGGGCTCCGCCCATCCACCTGTAAGCTCTGCGCCCACCGGAAACGGGAAAAGCACGAGTCCGTTTCCCCCTAAAGTTCACATATTCCTGTGACTGAGAAGTCCTTAGTCCACCCTCCCCTCTTGGTTTAGAGTTCTACAGAGGCTGTAGATACATTGAAAGGGCTCTTTCACTTATTTCCTCCCTCATAATCAAATTAGTTTGATTATTTTATGAAAGAATGGTATATAAAGTACGTGTAGTTTAAAATATTTTTAAATTATAACGTGAATCATCAGTGCTTTGGTGTTTGAAGAACAATCATGAAATTTCTAGATGGGTTGTTGCTTTTTGTTTAAACTGGGCAATTAGAGTAACTGTGGAGACTGACTCTAAACCAAGACCCCCAGAGTTCCTATTGGAATTGCACAATAAACATTGCTTGTTGTTTTCCTGTGTCACATTAAACTTGTGAAAGAAGTGGAATTTAGAACCGGTATGTGGTGATGACTTTCAGAGACCCTGGAACATAGTGCAGTGTATTGGTTGTGTGTGGGCGGTGCTGACGACAGTATTATAGGAGGAAAGCTCCAGGTGTTAGGATACTGTAAGTCCACGGCAGAGTCTAGAGGTAGGTAGTACAGGAGCAGTTTCTCCTGGCCTGGTACTATGAGCTAATGACAGTGTGAGTGCTGAGTTTGAAGTAGTTGGATGTTTATTTTTCCTGAGTAAGAAAGCATGAAAAGCGAGCTGCTTCACCTAGCTCTGATCACCGCTCTGTGAGGTCATAGGGCTTTGCTTGGTTGCTGCAGCCTGTTGGGTCTTCACGGAGAAGCTGTTCTCTGTCTTTCTCATGAGGCCTCCTTTCTTCTCCCTCTGCTTCTATCTTGTCCACAGCTGAGGCTGTTATGTACTTTCTTGAAACAAATAGCCATTGATATGCATAAGTATGCTTTTTAAAAATGAGCTTTCTTAAATGATTGAGAGTTTTGTCTGCCTCTTGAGGCGGGAGCTTTCATGGGGAGAGGCCCCCCCATCTGCATAAGCATTGGCTTGTTGAGATCTCTGCATTTTATAAATGCTTCCTACTGAGAAAGCATTTTTTAAGTCACTCTTTGTACCAGGTAATTTTTGCTGGGATGGGAAAGAGTTGTTTTTGTTTTTTGTTTTTTTTTTTTGGAGGGGGGGGACTGGGTGATGGGTTTTTGTTGATGCTTTCTGTGTTCTGAGGCAGTAACAGTGAGTTGTGGTGAAAACAAGTGTGTGCTGTTGCCTTGGGAATTATATGGAGTTTTTCATGTGGCTTTGTCTAGGTTAATAGAAATTGTGTGCACTGGGATATGCAGGTGTATGCTTTTTAACAGTTCACAAGTTTTAAGTTATTAAGAATAACACAAAATCGAATCACTTTAAGGCCATATGATTCTAGACTTAACATTGTTTTACAAATCTTTAAAATACATTTTAGAATCAAAATTGATGTGCTTAGTATCTTTTGAGTAATATAAGCTTTCTTAAAGTCCCATACATTCGGACTGTGGCAGCTAATTTTGTAATTTAAGCATTCATATGAACTACCTATGACATATATTAAAAACTGTTGACAAAATCTGAGAGTGCCTCCTTGACTTTTTGGAATTGTCCTACAAGAATATACACACAAATGCCGGGTGGTGGTGGCTCACGCCTTTAATCCCAGCACTCGGAGGCAGAGGCATATGGATCTCTGTGAGTTCGAGGCCAGCCTGGGCTACAGAGTGAGTTCCAGGACAGGCGCAAAGCTACACAGAGAAACCCTGTCTCAAAAAACAAAAACAAACAAACAAAAAGAATATACGTGTACACACACACAAAGTAAAGTTCTCTTATCATTAAAAGTTAGCACTAAAATGATTTTCCATTAAAAGTGTTAATCTTGAATATTCTTTTGTAGTTACCACTTAACACTTTGGAGTATGTTTTATTCTAAAGCCCTGTATGTTGCTTCAGAAAGGGTCTCACTATGTATGTAGCCCAAGTTGGCCACTGTAGATGTAACCAATCGTCTTTTTAAAATAAGAAACACAGAGCCAATGTAAAAGAGAAAGCTGAGAGGTCAGAGCTCAGAGATAAAATATTACCTCCTGCAGTGCTCCTAACTTCCCCGAGAGAGAGCTACTTCCTGTTTGTCTGTGTTTAAATAGTCTTTCTGTTCTGCCTTCTCATTGGTTCTAAACCCAACCACATGACTGCCTCATCACTGCCTGTAAGTACCGCCCTCCAGGTCTTAAAGGCATATGTCTCCAATACTGGCTGTATCCCTGAACACACAGAAATCTACCTAGCTCTTCTAACCACCATGCTCTTGCTATGGCTCTAATAGCTCTGACCCCAGGGCAACTTTATTTATTAACATAAAATTAAAATCACATTTCAGTACAAATAAAATATCACCACAGGCCACAGTCAAACTCCTGATTCTCTTGGAGTTGGCTGGCCTTGAACTCAGAGATCTGCCTGCCTTTGCCTCCCGAGTGCTGGAACTAAATGTGTGTGCCACTGCACTCAGCCCACCTTAGCCGCATATGTTATTAATGAACTCTTATTAGTCAGCTTTCTACCATTGTGACAAAATAGCTGAGATAGTAAACTTCAACTAGGAAAAATTCCTGGACTTTGCCCTCTTGCCCAGGGGAGACAGCTTGTAGTGGGCAAAGCCATTACTTCACAGCGGTCAGGGTGCTGACAGATAGGAGGGCAGGGCTTCTAACAGCTCAAGGACACAGCCTCAATGATCTGGCTTCTGTCTACAGTTTCCATCATCTACCCATAGTGTCTGTCACTGGCTATTGACTCAGTCTTTACCATGGCATTTTGGGTGGACTTTTAAGATTCAAGCCATTATAGTATTTTCCTTGGGTTAAGATATCTTATGCATAAGTGGACCAAGTGAGGAGAATCTTGTTTTACATCACACTGGAAAGAAACCATGCTTTCCAAATCCCTTTGCCTGGAGTTCTGAAATATAAAACAAAGACTTCCTTCTGATACCAATGGGGATTGAGAGCCCAATATGGCCAGCTTTGGCAAGCATTAATGTAAGCCTAGGAACTGTAGCCATGCGGTTGGATTCTCCAGAAGAGCTGCCAGCTAAAGTCATGCTGGGATCAAGAAAAATGGGCTTTGGTGGTTCGTATTACTGGAGTTGTATCCATGCTAGTGGATGTCCACACGCTCCAGAAGAGAATTTGACATTGCTGCTGCCGTCGTTGCTGTTATAGCAGTGGCAGCCATTGCTGCTACTGTTTCTGGGATTACCATTTCATAATTGCTTACTACAGCTAGCACAGTAGAAACCCTGGCAGCAAAAGTAGCTACCACAGTTAGTTAATCTTTCATTCTATTGGGCATGACAAATTTAATTCAGTAGTTATATACAGTTTGATTGGCTTTGAAAATTATAAATTTATAAACTCAAGTTCCATTGGCTTTTGGGATACTATCTTACAAGGACTCCAATTTGCAGTAAGGCTCCTTAAGGAAGGGAATGGCTCAGTTGCCTTTAGCCTACTGGCTATGGGTGGGATAGGACCTCTGTTGGTCTTTTCTGTGTCGAACACACAGATTGCAAGCCCAGTGCCACTTTGAGATCTTTGGCAGCAGTTAACTCTGCAGCTCACACACGATTGAGCCTGTATAATAATGAGTATTCAGAGATGGGTAATGCCAGGGGGGCATTCACCAACCTAAGACAGAGCACCTGTGTGGCCTGGGCAGGCGTCTCCATGATGGGTAAGGTGACCTGCTGACGTCCCATGCAACCTAAGTCAGAAGCTCATTTTTTAGTAATAGGGGGACCCGTAGGGTCCTGGCCCCTGTTTTGGGTAACTGTTGCCTTGCTTGCTGACCTTGACCTTGATATCCTCCCTATGCTAATTCCCTGCCGGGTTACACCCTCCTGAATGCTTAAGGGAAGTTCCTTGTCTGTGTATACTGCATAATGGGCATTAACAGCTTAGATGCAAGATTGTAAAAAATTGGTAGCAAATTTCTGCCCTCCAGGGTTCTCCCATTGTGCTGTAAACCTGTATTTAAGACTTTTCCTTCCTTCAATAAACAGCATTTGGCATTAAACAAAATAATAATAAAGTAAAAATAAAACAAAGACTTGGCTTCAGCATCAGTGAAACCAATTGCTAGGACCAGTGAGATGGCTCAATGTTGATGTTAAAGGATATAAAAGAGTTAGACCTATAGGGGTGGCTTCTATTACAGACTACTGAAACAAAGTAAAAGTAAAAAGAAGCCTGGCTGGGTGTGGTGTCATGTGTCTTTAATCCCAGTGTTTGGTGATCAGCAGATTTGATTGCAAGAGGACGACACAGCAGGGCTGGAGAGAAGGTTAAGGATTAAGAGTACTTACTCCTCTTGCAAAGGACCCACATTGAAATCTCAGCTACTAGCTGATTCTAACTCCAGCTCTAGGGGATCTGCTGCCCTCTTCTGGTCTCTACAGGCAACTGCATTCACATGCATCTGAACATAAATAAAATCTTTTAACAAAGGAAGACGGCATTATCTTTGTACAAGTTCACAATGGTCTCAACCCTCTGAATTTGAGAAGGAATAAAAGAAAGCTATGATTTTTCCTAATGGTAGATCGTATTGCTTTCTTGCTTTGTTTTTGAGACAAGGTCTCATCTATAACACAGACTGGCCTGGCATTCGTGGCAATGCCCCTGCCTCAGCCTGGAGTGCTGGGGTGATAGGTGTGTACCACCACATCTACTTGTTTTCTGAGAGGACTACTTGCTGAGTGTTACTTAGGCTAGTTTCCAACTCATGGGCTCAGGTTTTTTTTTTTTTTTTTTTTTTT